CACATATAAAGATAAAAAATAAAATAGGTAACAAAATAATATTTAAATAAAGTGAAATAAGTAGCCCCCCTTTAAACTTGTTTATTCCCTATGACTACCCTCATTGAAACCTTAAATGAACTATCAAGCTTTTGATGGAATAAAAATATAGTTCTAATGTTTTTTGCTTAACATTTTTTGGGGCGTTTTTTAATTATTCGGATTTTTGAATAATCTAGCTATAAATTTTGGACAGATTATTCAAACTGAAAAATCATGCTACCTATAAAAATATGGATGGGTGCAAGGTTGCCGGCGTTCGGGACTGGTCCAACGCCCGAACGTTTGACACCCTCTCTCGACGTTCGGCCGTTCGGTCGAACACGGACCCCCCTCCCAAAAAAAAAACAGAACAAGAAAATGAATTCTAAAAAATCTGAAAAATATATATGTTATGCATAAGAACAAACTAAACAATATTTGCCCCAACGCCTCATCCTAGTTCGTTACCTAATTTGAAAAACAAATGAGGTACTAAAAATAAATAATAATAATGAAAATTAAAAAAAATAAAACGAGAATGAAATTATTGAGTGGGCGAGCACGTTTTTTATACAACCATCTTTGGCAATTTTTTTTTTTTTTTTTTTTTTATGTGACAAATGCTATGAAAATTTATATATGAGTATCTTACATAATAGAGAATCTATAAATAAAGTTTGAAAAAATAATAATTTGCTTCATGCCCCGAAATTAAAAAAAAACAAAAAGTGAAAAGAGGAAAAAAATAAATTAGTGAGTGGGCAAGTAAGTTTTGGCACCACCATCTTTGAGGATTTTTCAATTTTTTTTGGATGAACAGAATGACTTAAGAATTAAGAGGGAGATACCTCACATCACAAAAAACTCACAAAAAATATTTAAAATAATAATAATAATATTTAAGTGCCATAATATTTAATGTTTTTTTGGCTTAGCAGAATGGCTTCAAAATTGATAGGCGTGTAAGTTACATCATAGAGAAGTCACAAAAAACAAATCAGAAAAAAAAACAGATTTTTAGGCCCGGAAATGTTTTTTGGCGGGGGCCGAGCCTGGAGATGTTCGGCCCCCGAACGGGACCCTGAACGCCCGAACGTTCGTGGGCCAGCCCGGGAGCCCTCGAACGATCGGTTAGATAACCTTATATATATATATATATATTTTTTTTTGTCTGGGGAAGTGACTTCAGATAAGTCTTGCAAGCTATAATTTCTTAACGTATTCTTATGAGTACGAAAAATCGCTAAGGTTGGGGTACTTTTCTTGTTGGCCCACACGTGATCCGAGCAGCAGAGCCAGAGCAAAACTGACCCAAAGCACGTGCATACAAGCCACAAACAGCAGAATGCACCAGAATCTCAAAATTATTAAGTTCCCAACATCAAACAGATAAGAGCGTCAAAACACCGATAGTCACCGTCGGCCATAGCCGGCGTGACCTCACCTCCTCTCCTGCGCTAGAACAGAGTGACACTCGAGACGAAGGTGACTGGCAATCCCCGACTCGTTTCGGTCGCTGCCAGTTAGCGACCTCCTCAGGGGGATACTTTCGAGATGCTAAAACTACGCTACAGTACGTATCGTCATCACAGGCCTCGTTCGCGACTTCGGTTCACGATTTTGGCTGAGGCCATGCGTCTTATTCATTGCTCAGGTGATTGTTTCCCGATTTACCTGGTCCGACACCCCCCTCACGTACCGGAGAAAAAACACGCCCCTTGATTATCCCAACACTTTCGGGCTCCCTTCTGTAGCTTCCGGAGGCTGCTTCTCCCACCCAGGAAAACGCACGTTTCCTGCTACTCCAAAAAAACGTGGTTAGTCCGGTACTTCCCGCTCATACTTCTTTTTCTCATCGGTTCCTGACCCACCCATTCATACCCTGACACTTACCACAGAACCTCCCGCCCAAGGACGCACATTTCCCCTGCTACTAAAACGTGGTTATCCCGGTATCTCCCGCTCGTCCCTCATTGTTTATTCCCAACCCACCCATTCTTACCCTGCACCCCAAACACAGACCAATGTCATAAGCACTTCTCCCGCAAAAAATCCTTTGCACCACAACCTCCCCCCCGTAATTATAAAACCATAATCCCGCCATATTTCCTACCCCCCTAGCAGGTTACGCCGTACACCCGATTCCCAGTTCCATCACCAATTCCCCAGCCTACGGTTCCATTTGTCCCACCCCGGGGCACGTCTCCGCACAAATTTTCCCAAACACTAATTAAACATCCAGGCTGGGTAGCCTTAAAGGCGCAACTGCCTCTTCACAGTCAATAAGCTTAAACCCGCCAGTTCATCATTCGATATCATTCTCTGAATCCTGTGCAGCGTGCAGGTGATAACTACCTTCTTCTGCCTGATCGTGGAGAAGGAATCGAAATCTTGAAAAGTACGGTAAGCCAGCCTCTCCTTTTCCTCCCAGACCTGTTCAAAATTCTTCGAAAAAATCTGACACGACACCACATTTTTCAGTATTTTCATTCGTGTCCCAAGAAAATCCCAGGTGCCCTTCCCCTCATCAGTCTGTTTCAGCGTGACTCTATCATCATACGCACGCTCAAACAATTCAATAATCCTCCTTCGTCTATGTCCCCCGTTCCTCACCGGGCACCAAATGAGGATCGTGACGTCATCAATCAGCCTCATACCTTTGATCAAACATCGGTCCGCGCCCAGGCTTAGCAAGAAAGCACACTCATTCATTGCGCATAGAATACATGCCAATGGGGGGCTGCTACTTTTCCCCATTGGGATACCCACGTGCTGCTGTATCAATCTTCCAGACGCTGATACGTACGTGTGCTTCAACTCAAACTCCACCATTCTTCTTATCAGATCGAAGCTTATACCCATCCAAAATTCATTACCGCACTTCCGTGCGAAAGCAGCCCCTTTTCCTCTTCTTCTGATGTTGACATCAGTTCTACCCTTCTTTCGGTACGATGCGAGCAACCAATCTACCGCAACTAAGATAGAGTCGTGCGGAAGCTGACTAAACATTTCCTTGATATCGAAAGCTGCTCCGACCAGCTCTCCCTCCCCTTTCTTGCCCACCCATTTATTAGCCTCCTCTACCCTGTCCTTCAACAACCCCGTTGATTTTAGATTAAAGTGCATGGCTTTCGGCAGTAAGAATAGCAGGTGATTCAACGCCCTAGCCACTCGTCTGCCTGCCGTCTTTGATGGTTCCGTGAAAGATGGGCTGATATGTCTGAACCTACACACATCCTTATGTTTAGGTAGGATATAAGCCCGACCAAAAGATCCCTGCTTGTCCCATCTACCAACCGCGTTTAGTCCCTCCGCCTTAAAATCCTGCTCGCACCGATCCAGTAAGTCCCTTTCCGTTCTCCATACTGCTGAGAAACCATCGTTTCCCCAAAAGGTTTTTCTCATCCCTTCCGCGTAAACCGATGGGCACATCACCACGGTATCAGCTGTGTTTCGGTCGATCGCGCAACAAATAAGCCCAGAACACATTTCTTTCGCTTTTCGCAGCATACCACCCAGCTCCCCACGCCCATCAATACTTCCATTCACACAACCCAACACCTCCTGCAGACTCACCACAGACTTCAAGCCCAATAACTTCATACTCTTATTAATTTCGGTCACCGTCTTGTCTCTTCCTTTCTTCCCCCCAATACACACCACATTCCGAGCATTCAATGCCAAATCCGGTATCTCCTGGATTTCACTAAGCCGGCAATGCACGTGACCCTCCCTCCTCGGGAGAGCACTGTCTGCGCAATTACAGACACCCACCATCTGCTGAGAGGCAGAGCGGTGGTTATGGAGAACTTCGCTGACGGTAGGATTTCTTTTCCAAACCATTCGAAGTTTCTGACACATGTATTCCGCTAGTGGCACCGATCTTTCGGCCCGGATCTTACCAATCACAACCTCCCGCATCTTTCATAAATATAGGCTCCGATCATACGTAGTGCTAACACAAAATTTCTTCCTAATATTAAAACCAAATTTCTTCCTAATCACCCCTGCTAACAAATCCTTCAGAATCTTCCTTGTCCCCTCCCTAGAGAAAAAATTCATTGCAGATACGAGCTCCATGAGTTTATCAAGTCCATACTTCACCAGTCTTCTGGAGTACCACGAATTCCTAATCGCTTGATGCAGCTCTCGTTGCAGAGCCGCGTTGGTCTTTGACAAGGCTCTAGGCTGCAACTTTATGATCTCAAACTCAGCGCCCACTTCCAACATTCCCTTCACATCCTCGATAGATCTAGTACTATCATCAATTTTGACCGTTGATAACCCAATTTCCTTAACCACATCTCTCCACTTACGCACCCACACCTTACCCCCAACCGTAATAACGTTTTTCCTTTCCACCCACGCTCGCTTACAGATACTAACGAGATCAACCGACTGGAAATCCCCGCATTTGAAAACCATAGGTCTGTCCATCCGCACATCATAATTCCTTGCCTTCTTCCTCTCTTTTCTTCCCTTACGTTTCCTTACCTTCCTCGCCCTCCCACATCCTTTGGTGTTCAGCGTAGGGGACCACTTCCTAATAAAAACTCCCTCGGCCTTAATAAGATCCTCAGCCGGGACAAACGCGATAGGCAATGCAACATAACTAGACGCACCATGGTTCCTCATCCAATTGTAGAGCTTCGAGTTACGTGATCCATCCGGGTGCTAGGTCCTGTAGCCGTGCTCATCCCATCGGGTCAGCAGCAATCGACTTGTCTGACCAATATAAGTAGCCCGTACCCCTGGGTCGATGAGCACATACACACACGACCCCGGATTTTCCCAGCCGGAGAGATTATTCTCAATAATGTCCACCCAGTTACCTACGAACTTTGCTCCCCACTGTATACCCCCATTAAGAATGATCAGAACTATTAAATACCTCAACACTCCTTCCAGAGCTTCTCGGAGACGCCTGCTCCCTAAACCGGGATCAACCAGATATAGCCTTCGTAGCTCCAGGTACTTACCTAGATGACTCCTGTGGGCGATCGATCTGCTGGCCGCTGCTCCCTGGTTCCGTCCGTGGAACAGGTTGTTCCCGTGCACGAGGTTCCTCATGCACTTCCCTAATGACGATTCCACCTACTTGTGGTCTTGGCGTGACCGCCCGTGGCTGTACTGGCATAGCTGGTTCAATGCTGAAGTACATCACGCGTATCTCGATCAGCTCATCCACCGCGTCGGGTCTTCCTCTATACACCACCCCCGCCTCCCTGCACATCTCTTAAATGGTCGGCTTCAGCTTCTTGCTGAGATACTTCCGGATGGCTTTACGGAAAGCGTTCGTAGTCAAGTAATCATCCGCCGTCGGTGCTCCTTCCCAGAGGCTAGAGTCTTGGTACGGATAACCAAGCTGCATATCCCCACCTCGTCCACGTCTCTGTGGGACTCGTAAGTGAGGGGATGGCCCTGGTCTTGGGGTAACAGGAGGAGCGGGGGTACCCACTCTCCCTACCTTGGACGGGACTCCGTCGGAGGGCTAGCCTTGCAGACTGGGGCTGACTACCTCTTGCGCTTCTCCAGGCGCTCCTCCTGCGGGTCTTCCTCCTCCTCGGAACTAGACTCACCCATCGGTGCCTTCCCTTTCACAGCCTTCTCAGACACGACTGCCTTGCGTAATTTTTTATCAAACATTATCTCGAACTCTTCCTTCATAGTCGCCTTCTGCTTGGCCAACAATTTCTCCAACTTCCACTCCCTCTCAGCCTCCTTCTTCTCCTTCTTCGTCTTCTTCTCAAGTTCAACACGATTCTTCTCCTCTCTCGCTAACCTTTCATCCTCCAAGCGTTTCCTACGTTCCTCCGATTCACGTTTCTCTGTCTCACATCGTTCCTCCAGCTCAATCTGTCTTTTTGAGAACAGACACACGACTTTCAAGGATTCCTCCAGGTCCTTACTAATGCCGATGACATTTGCCGGTACGCCCGCGGAAGAGGAGCTGCTGGCTCCTTCGTTAGGATTAGGTTGCCATCCTCCTCCACCGTTGTTCCCATTCCAACTTGCTCCCCCGCCATTGTTGTTCCAATTCCCGCCACCTTGATTCTGCCGGGGGGCGTTGCACTCCCGGCTGATGTGGCCCATCTGATTGGAATTGTAACATCTTGTCGATCTTCTCCAGTCTCTGCCCCCCCTCCACCGTTGCCATTGCCGCCACCATTGTTCCAGTTCCCGCCGTTTCCTCGACCCCCGCTATTCCAATTCCCGCCGTTTCCACCATATCCGTTTCCGCCTCCATACCACCATTACCGTTACCCCCATTCCAATTCCCCCCGCCGCCGTTATGGCCGCCATACCAATTACCACCGCCTCCGTTGCCCCCACCGTTACTGCCACCTCCAAAGCCGCCTCCATTACCTCCACTCCAATTACCTCCTCCTCCGTTACCGCCACCGTTACCTCCTCGCCAATTACCATTCTGCTCCCCATCATTCCTCATTATCTACGAAGCACTACGCACCTTCCACACTTTGACAAATTAATTAAACTCACCGTCTACGCATATAGGGCCACCAAATCGCAGGAGAAGCGTCCTGACAGGTTCCCACTGTCGGTACTAGATCAGAGCAGCAGAGCCAGAGCAAAACTGACCCAAAGCACGTGCATACAAGCCACAAACAGCAGAATGCACCTGAATCTCGAAATTATTGAGTTCCCTACATCAAACAGATATAATCGTGAAAACACAGATAGTCACCGTCGGCCATAGCCGGCGTGACCACACCTCCTCTCCTGCGCTAGAACAGAGTGACACTCGAGACGAAGGTGACTTGCAATCCATGACTAGTTTCAGGCGCTGCCAGTTAGCGACCTCCTCAGGGGTATACTTTCGAGATGCTAAAACTACGCTACAGTACTACACTATTAGTACTCATCCTGCGCTCGTTCAGAAACGCTACGTACCCTCATCACAGGCCCGGTTCGCGACTTCGGTTCACAATTTCGGCTGAGGCCATGCGTCTTATTCATTGCTCAGGTGATTGTTTCCCGATTCACCTGCTCCGACACCCCCCTCACGTACTGGAGCAAAAACACGCCCCTTGATTGTCCCGACACTTTCGGGCTCCCTTCTGTAGCTTCCGGAGGCTGCTTCTCCCGCCCAGGAAAACGCACGTTTCCTGCTACTCCAAAAAAACGTGGTTAGTCCGGTACTTCCCGCTCATACTTCTTTTTCTCATCGGTGTCGTACCAAATACCCTTACAAGGGTATTTGGCGTGTTTTTTGCAAGTCGCGCAAGTGCAGTGTTGCCCGCCTGACGGCGTGCGCGAGAGCGGAAGCGTAGGTTCTTGTCAGGGTGAGAGGCGCGCGTGGTGGCGTGGGGCATCGACGGTGAGGCGCAACTGTGCGCTGCCTAGGCGTGCGCGGCGTCGCGAGCCAGCGGGACGCACGATGTTTATTTGTATTTTTATATCAAATAATTGTGTATTAATTTTTGCTCCGGCGTGCCGTTTGACTCGGACACGACGCCGGACTTAATGGACGTCGCGACTGTCGGGGACCGAGAGTACGGGCCCCAGTTGACGGGTCCGTGGGTTGGGATGCTGGCGAGTTTCCTCTATCATGCCGTCATTGACAGCGTGAACTGGGCCCGACGTGCATGGGGATTGATGGATGATTAGCCCACGAGGCGGAAGAAAGGCCGAAAATGGCGTGGGTATTTCTGCGGGGGCACCACCATCCACGGCTTGTTGTGGGAGGTTTGAGTGTGAGCGTGCCCGCCAAAGCCCGCGAGCCGGCAGGCTATATCCAGGGCACGATGGCCAGGCCCGCAGCGGTACCGCAGAGTGCCGCGGACCTGCAGTAGGCTCGCGCCCCCAACTGCGGGATGGCCTGTGTGTGGGTTGCCCGTTGGGGACCTGAGAGGGCGGACTGGGGTAGAGGGGCGAAAGACTAATCGAGCCGTCTCGTAGCTGGCCCCTCTGAAGTTCCCTCTATGGGACTGGGGTATAGAGCCGAAGGGCCGAACCTGAGCGGGGGCCTCGCCAGGTTCATGCGAGAACGGTGAGGGCTGATGGGCGGGCCGCTGTGGGGCGCTGGCGGGTCGGGTGTAGTCGGGGTCGAAGTAGACGAGGCAGACAGTGGGGCGGCACACCGCGGGGAGAACGGGCAATAGCACAGGGTGAGGGAGTGAGGGCGGGACTTACCTGGTGGTCGACTCCCCAGAAGCCTTGTAGACCTGAAGTCGTTAGGCGGCCGTGGTAACGAGCATTAGGCCGGATGGCGAACGACAAGCGGAATGTTGGCCAGCAGGTGGAGCAAGCGGCCAGCGCTGCGCAGCAGAAGTGGCGGGCGGAGTGACGAACGGGCCCGGGCGTTGAGAGGGATGCACGGATGTGAACGGGGGTCAGCGCCGGGTGCATGGGCGATGGTTTCGGAAGAGCGGGGATAGAGAATCGTGGTAGGTGCATGCAGAAGGCGAAGTGTGTTGGTGTGCAGGGTATCGGAGGGGAGCTACCGAGAGCAGCGAAGTGCGAACGCTGCTTGAGGCGGATGAACCTGGCTGGCTAACCGTGCCAGGTGCGTGCACAGTTGAGAGCGGAGGAGATGGGCAGCGCAGTGCAAACAAGCGGAGCGCTGCAGCAAGGCACGGGTGGCGACGGGCGCTAGTGCTAAGGCAGTGCAGCTACGGGCACTGAGGCAGCAGCGGGCGGAGCGGCAGTGCAGGGGGACGAAGGGAAAGTGACTAAGAAGAACCCAGACGACTTTTGTGCCGGGTGCATTTCACACGGGAGATGGCGGAAGCGAGCTGAGCAAAGCCGGAAAGGCTTGTAACTCGCCCGTTTCTTGATGAAAACGAGCGAGGGGAGATAGTAGATAGGGGTTTTTTGCCAGGGCGAAGCTAGTGGTAGAGTTAGTTTTAGTCCTAGGATAGTAGAAAAGGGGGGGATGAGAAATCAGGCTGCGCGGATGGATGGAGATGGCCGATATGGAAGAGAAGGAAAGACATGTAGCTCCCTCGTTTCTAGGCGGAATCGAACGAGGGAGGATGCGTTTTTGGGGTTTCGCCCGCGGGCGAGTCTATTGGTAAAGTTAGTTTTGCTAAACGGGTAGGAGGTTAGGAGTTACGAAGAAAGAGCACCTCACTCAGCTATGGCGGGAGGCCGAACAACGGGAGTTAAGAATTGAGATATCACTGGATTCTCATCGGAATCGAGTGAAGTCAAGGTCGTGGTAGGGGTTTTAGAGAGAGGCGATTTCAGCGGCGGTATCAGCTTGGCTGGCAGATTAGCGAAGCGAGAAGGAATGGGGAAGTGGGATGCACTGAGGGATGGCGGGATGAAAGAAGCGGGAGACAGGGAGCGGTCGAATGGCAGATAGCTGGCGGAGCAAGCGGAAAGCACGCGTAGAGAGAGAGAGAGAGAGAGAGAGAGAGAGAGAGAGAGAGAGAGAGAGAGA